GGTCTATGCTGCTACTCGTCAACTTCAGACTGAAAGAGAAAGTATCACTTAAAGATCAATTAAGACAAAATGGGAATGAGATTGCATGGTAAAATCACACATGTACACAGAGTTCCTTATTTACAGTGCAGTTCCTGAAACACTCAATAAACGTGTATCTCATACATTCACTCAGAATAAAGTCAAGGATGAATAATAATCAACACCATTAGAGAAGATGCCCAGATTTTCTAAGAGGATTAAGCAAATAACAGGTACACAGATTTCATAAGGAACTTGAAGAAAAGCCATTCAGATGACTTCACACACTGGAGGACACAGTTCAAGAAAGATACACTGTATCTCTAGGAAGAAAGACTAGCTCTGACTCTGAAATTAACAGTAGTTAATTCCCAATTCTAGATTCTTTCCTAGGCAGACCTGTACCAGGTGTGGTACAGGACTATAATCTCAGCCTTCAGAGGACTGAGACAGGAGGATTGCACATTCTGGTCTAAAGTAAGCTACAGAGAGATCATGGGTGAAAGAAAATCGACTCCCTTGCTGGATGAGTTAATGGCAGTTTCTAACTACATCTCAGGTGGCAATGAGCACCAAGCCTGGAGAAGCAGAAAAAAAGACGGCATACTCCAGACCCGCCCCTTCTACATCTGGTCTCAGCTCCTATCCTATTTTGATAGTGAGAATTTTTACCTTATATAACCAAGAGTCCTTTTTATAAGCCAGTTTCTTCTCTTATCATTCCCATAAACCATGTAGTGTAGTTCAAAGTACATGCGCCTCCCCTGAAAAGTGGAGTCTTCCTATTACAGTGTCTGGACAGTGGTTCTTATCATGAATGCATATTGGGTTTAATGTGGGAAGGAGTATGTTTTTTAAAAACAAACAAAAAGAGCCAAGCAAACAAATTAACCAGGCATGGTGTTGCACACCCTAAGGTTCCTTAAAACAAGAGGCTATCACCACGATTCTTGACGGCTTCCCACGAACTAGATGTTAAGACTCTACTGCTGGCCTGGCAGTGGTGACACAAACCGCTAACCCAGCACCTGGGAGGCAGAGGCAGGCAAATCTCTGTGAGTTCGAGGCCAGTCTGGTCTACAGAGCTAGTTCCAGGACAGCCAGGCGTACAAAGAAACCCTATCTTGAAAAATCAAAAGACCCTACTGCTGAAGATCTCACAGGCTTTGGCTATAGGACACAGAAATCAATCTGAAACTGAACTGGAATCCTGTTGGCTAACTTCTATAGTGTTGGAAGACTATACAGGTTGGGGGAAGTTATCAATGGTCTGACCCAGCTGGGGACTGTACTGCTGACTTGCCAGAAAAGCTATGCCTGCCTACTGGAGCACTGTTAAAGGGGTAACCAACCACTTCTAACTGAATTTGAGGCCCACTTACAGGAATTTATACTTGGTTCTGTACACCTCATCAAAAAGAAGCCTGTGGTTGGTCACAGGCGCTAGTGAGGAACCTACTACTTTTTTTGCTATTCATTAAAAAAAAAAATCTTCTAAATATCTAGGTTTATGTTCAGGTATGGTGAGACGCTTTTATTTATTTATCTATTTATTTATTTGTTTATTTATTTTGTAGTGGGTAGCAGTTACTACTAAGATTCGGAACTGTTCAAAGTGCTAAGAATCTCAAGGTGCTCGTTTCTACATGGGACATCTATACCTCCCCTTCCAAAGCTCAGGGCACACTGCAGAAGAGGGGCAGGGAGCATCGACACGGAATACTGTTCTCTGGGTATGTCATGGTAGTTGCACCAGGAACTGATAGCAACTCTTTTTTTTTTATTTAAGATTTATTTATTACGTATACAGTATTCTCAGTATTCTGTCTACAGGCCAGAAGAGGGCACCAGATCTCATTACAGATGGTTGTGAGCCACCATGTGGTTGCTGGGAATTGAACTCAGGACCTTTGGAAGAGCAGGCAGTGCTCTTAACCGCTGAGCGTGATAGCAACTCTTGATCACCTATGGAACACGACTGGACCAGTCAACACTATGAATGGAGGGTCCAGGAACTCATGATGCCCCACCTCTCCCTGAGGACCTCTAGGTAGTAATGATTACAGGTGGAGGAAGAGGCATTTTTTTTTTCAATGGTACAGCACTAATAAGCTTCCCACGATCCTAAAAATAACCTCTCACCTATACTATTAATTATAAGCAATTAAACTCATTGGGTCACCTATGTCCCCAAAAGTCACTAAAGCAGAAAGAGACCAGCTGGGAAAGGGTGTCAGTGGGAATGAAGGGGGATGAAGAGTACGAGGGGTAAATTACACTTCAAAACTCACTGTGTACACACAAGAATGAAAACATACGAAACATTATATAATATATACTAATAAAAATTATCTTAGGGGTTGGGTATAGCTCAGAGGCAAAGGGCTGCAGCCACAGGTTTAATCCTCAGCATGCCCTTGCCTATTTACTTTTAAAGGCAGTACTTACAGCTTTGACTTTGTGTTATTTAATAAATCTTCCTCATCACTAGACTCATCTTTATTTTCATCGCTGTCTGATGATTCTTCGCTATTTTCACCTTCTTCTTCTTCTTCCTCCTCCTCTTCTTCCTCAACAGCAACTTCACTCGGGGCCTTGTCTTCCAGGTAAAATTGTTTGTCAGCACTCAACCCTGGAGTTCTATCAATTACAAAGAGGGAACTACCACATGCGGTGTCTTCCAAGTCTTCGCTTGAAGACTCCTTCTGGCCACTGTTTCCAACGGAACACACAGACTCCTTCTCATTCTCGCTGTTTTCAGACTGCTGGCTTTCATCACTGCTAAGAAATAACAGAACAGAACTATCTACATCCTGCGACATGCTGAGTTCAGACTTGCAGGGTCTGGTATCAGATTTGAGACCCACGTCACTCTGGCTGTCCTTGTTCTCACAGTCACCTGCACTTGTGGACTCCTCGTCACCATCCCCGTGATCACTGGATTGGGCCATGTCACTCATTTTTAGGCTGCCCACTCTGCCTTCATTCAGTCTCGCTACTTTCACAACTGCAAATTTGTCCTCTAACGATTTCATTAGAGCCTCACGTTGGGGCTGTGGTGTGGCTTTATTGCTTGGGGTGCTTGAATGATTCTGAGAAACTGACTGCCGAATGCTGGTGTCTTGAACTTCAGAAAGAGTCAACTGGGAATCCTTCTCAGTAATTTCTTTGTCTTCCATTATGTTGGCGGCCTCTTTATCCAGACTCTTAGCATTCTCCTTCCTAATTTCTGTAAGAGATGCAACACTGGCTTTTTCTTCTTGTATATGCAAACGTTGGTGGTTTTGTGGTGTTAGCTTTTTTTCTGAGTCTCTGGGGATGGAATCATCAGTTTCATTATTAGAGAAATTTGGCCTATCAATCTGAGAATGTGTTCTCGCTGGTAAGTGAGAGGCCTGTCTAGTGTCCGAGTCCTCTGAGTTCACAGAGGTACCCATGCTTTGCTTTTTATTTCCTGGTATAAGCTCAGCACCTTCCTTCTCAGCTTGGGCCTGTAATTTCCTCTGCGTGCTCCTGGCTGTTCTCCTGGGTGCGATCCCAGATGATGAAATGCCTGAGCATGACGACTCAGCATCAGAAACAGCTTCTGCCTGTGACTGTGGGCTTGAATCTTGCTGAGATTTAGCCTTATTTCTTCTGCTTCTTCTTTCTGTGGAAGGCACAACCATGGAAACCCCTGAAACGTGAGATTCTGCTTCAGAAACCACTCCTTCATCGAGAGATTCATGCTGAGGGGTTATTTTCTGCCTTTTCTTAACACTGGTCTTTGGAGTGGGTGCACTTACGATCTGCCTCTTCCTCGTTATTCTTATAATGGGCTCCTCGACCTCAAACACAGAAGTAACCCCCGAAGCATAAGACTCTGCTTCAGAGATCTCTGCATCAGTAGCCAGCTCTGTAATCTCTCCTGGGGGGCCCGGACTTCGACTTTTCCTCTTTCTGGAGAGGACTGAACTTTGTTTCTCAGCTGTCTGTGAATCAGCAATACTTCTGTCATCTTTCTTGCTTTCTGGATGTGTCTTGATTCCTTGAGGAGTAGAACCCTTCAAACCAAAAACAAACACAGTGTAATTGAGATACAGCAGGGACAAGAGCAAACAAATGTAGCAGGACCTCAAAAGGCAAAACTTAATAAGGCACGAAACAAAGCTAAACTCATGATGAAATAATTTTTTCCTTTACTTGCCTCATCCTAGACTTCAGAAAGCAAAACTGAAGAGAATTTTCTCCACTCTGAGGGGGGAAAGAACCCAAATCATTTATAGAGGCCCAGGGGGCGGGGTAGTTAAGTACTAATTGCGCAGATATTGTGAATATACACTTTAAGAGTGTATAAGGGAATTCTGTTTGCCTGGGTTTTTATGTACAAGAATGATTGCGTTACATCCTTTACCACACAATCTAAAGAGTGTGTCAGCAAGAGACAGCCAGAGGCCCTCAGAGACGCCACAGCCGCCCTGAATATACCAGAGGAGTTGGTGCGGGGCCACTGCCAGTCTCCCCACGTGAAAACGATGCTCCCTCCCATCCCCAAAGAGGCTCGGGAGCGGGGGCAGGAATTAATCTTCCCAAGTATTGTCTCAACAGGAAGCTTAAGAGGACTCAGGTGCGCGCAAGGCAAGCAACCCACACGCTCGTAAGTGCCCTGAAAGACCCAGAGGCGCAACCCGGTTCCAGGCTGGCACAGCGCAGCGTTTTGCGCACAAGGCTCGTGCCGCCCTCACTCTCCTCCGCCCCGCCGAGCCTTATCGCTCTCCTCCACCCGGCAGAGCCTCTCCTGCCCAGCGGCGAGGAGACCCGGGGAACATGGAGTCCTCACCTTGTGCTGGGAGCTTCCTGACCCGACTGGGACCCAAGTCCGACACTGCCCGGACCTGGTGACCACCATGCTCCCGACTCTGTATTCCCGGCAGCCAGCGCGGCTTTCTCGGCTCGGACGCTTCGGAAGTGCGTCAGACCCAAGGGTCTCGCTTACGCGTCCCCGCGGAAACTGCGGCTCGGGAGAATGGTTCCTAGCGGGCTCGCCGCCGACGGCCTCTGGTTCCGCGCGTCCTCCACCGTGCTCTCTGCGGCGGTAGAGGCTTGCGTTTTACACAAAATAGAAAGACGCATTCTTTACCCTGCTTTCCATCGGTCTCCTGTGCAGTCATTGTAAGATCTTTGGCGTGAGTCTCGACTGAAGTCAAAGGGAGACTTCATTTAGTACTTTTAGAAAACACTTAGTATTTGTGAAGTTAAATAGAAATGAGACTTCGAGATTTGATTGGGATACAAGGATGTGTGTCAAGTGAACCCTGGATCTCGGAGAATAATTAGAAAGCTCTGGATTTAACTAAGATGTCTCCGGATTTGAAGTAATCGTTTAAAAGAAAGAAAAAAGAAAATAAATTGTGAAAGAGAGATAAAACTCCCCCCCCCAACAGAAAAGGAGACTGACTGTCCCAGATCGAAAGGGTTTTAGTTTAGTTTGTTTCTTTGTTTTGCAAGGTCTCTCCACATAGCCCTGGCTTTCCTGAAAGTCACTATGTAACCAGGCTGTTCTCGAACTCAAAGATCTACCTGCCCCTGCCTTCCAAGTACTGGGATCAAAGGCATGCGTCTTTACACCCGGTTGAGGTGTTCAATTTTCTTTTGCAGATGAAAGATGGAGAACTAGAATATATTGAGAGGCTACAAAAGCAATTGAGGAAGGGGTAAAGGAATTAATGTTGGGAGCAAGAAGAGATGTGGTTCATCAAATCTATTTTCCTTTACCTTTTAAACACAAAATAATTTTTCTTAAAAACACGCATTTCAGTAGGTATGTTGCTTCTGAGTTAAGTAGCTCCCCTTCCTGCTCCTTGGAGGCAGGTATGCATAGTGACCAAGTTTGTTTTGTTTTGTTTGCAGCCCTGGGAACTCGCTTTGTAAACCAGGCTGACTTCGAACTCACACAGATCACCTCTGAGATCACCTCTGTCTCCCCGGTGCTGGGATTAAAGACTTGTGCCACCATCGCCCAGCCATGACCAAGTTTTGATTGCCATGAGGATGCAGCCTGTGCTTTGGGAGTCACATACCTGTGAAGAACAAGAATATGTGTTCCTCTAACTGGGACTTGAGTCAATCTCCTGTCTTCACACTCTTTAAGACAGGCGAGGCTTAGTGAAAACACTGGCAACAATGAGAGCTGTTACTTTTCAGTTTAGGTTTAAAAGAGTTCCGTCTTGTTCTCTGAGCCATCTGGGGATAGCTCACAGCACCATGTGAGCTGCGCTAGGGTGAGGCCTATGAGGGAAGGAAGTTTCTGGCCAAAATAGCCAGTGAGACCTTCAGTTTGATAAACTGTCTAAGAGTGGAATGGTGTCATATGCTAAGTGTACACTTGATTTTATAGGAAATGCCGAAGTCAGGGATGGTGGTACATGGCTTACAACCTCAGCACATAGGAGTCTTAGACAGGAGGACCCAGGCCAGTCTGAACTAACTAGCATGATCGTGTCTCAAAAACAAAACAAAATGAAGAAATGCCTGGGTATTTTCCATAGTGGTGGTTTCAGTCTCACCGACATCTGAGAGCTACATCTGCATCGTGTTCTCACCAGCACTTGCTGTTGTCGGTCTCTCGTCATTAGTGACAACTCATTATAGATTAATCTGCACTTTCCTGATGATAATGGTCAACGTGTTTTAACAGTTGCAGGGCCCTGGGTTCAATCTCCATCACCATTGAAAACGAAGACCGAATATGAAATACATTTTCAGAGAAAGAACCACGAAGTTTACTGCATGCGCTAGTCGGCTGTCTGTTGCTATGTTAAAATTTCTGGCTTAAACAACTTCAGAGATTTATTTGGGCTCAGTTCAGAGGTTGTAGTCCACGTCTCTTTTCTCTGTCCTTTTAGACTGAAGGCAGGGCAGAAATATGGTGGACACTATGTGACAGCAAAGTTGTTCACCACATGGTGGCTGAGCTGCATACAGTGGAGGGGCAGGGCCCTCTTCCCTTTTCAAGAATTCCAATGACCTAACTTCTGCCAGGCCCCACCTCCCTAAAGTTCCTCCCAAGTCCCTGCAGCACTGCTGGCCAAAGGCCAGGCAGCCAATATATGACCCTTTGCGGGGTCTTTAAGATCCAAACCATAACATCACTCCAAAGATGTTGGTGAAACTTACTAAAGATATAAAAGAAAAGGTGAATCTAATGAGTATAGTACAGGAATCAGGACTGAGCAAAGACAGGGAAAAGAGATGACTCAAAGTAATAAGACATGAGCCATCTTAAAATGATGAGAGTTGGACATACCAATTCCATACATGAAATACATGAAATATGAAAAACAAATCCTGTTTTAATTTTCTGGCAAAGGATATATAACCATACACTAACTGGAGGGGAGGCGGTGACAAGCTTTATTCTCTTATACAATGTGACTTTTCCAATACACATGCATTCACAGACCAGAGCACAACAAGCCTTTTGTATGTGTGACTGGGTGTTTCCGTACTTGTGTGCTCACACATGCATGCACACACCAGAGATCTACTTCACCGGGTAACTTTCTCTAGTACATTCCACCTTATCTGAGATAGACCCGCGTGTGCCAGACTTGCCGATTGGCAGAGCTGATGGATGCTCCCAGTGCTGGGATTACCAGGCCACCGCCATGCTGGGGACCCAAACTCATGCCATTTAATAAAATATTTACAAATCAGGCAGAGAAAGATCTGCCCACAATGCTAAGCACACTTTGTTTCGACCTGACCCTCAAAGTTAATTCCTTTAGTTAAGTCTTTCCTGTTCTTACCCTCTACCCATAACCACTTTCTTCCACATTCCCCAACCTTGTCCCAGATCTGCTGTCAACCAAGATAGCTTTCTCTTCTTCATGGCCTGATTTCCTCCCTGGGAATACATTGTATAGGTAAGATTGTTTAATCTGTGTCCATCTGTAGCATCTTGTGTAGCACACAGCATACATCTCTGCTGAGTGAATGAATAGCTTTATGGTTTACATCTTTTTCAAGTAATTCACAATTTATTTTCAAATCATACTGTTGGAATTCAAAAGGTTCAGAAATCAATGTGATGTTTTCAGATGTTCCCATTTTCAAGCAACTCAAATAAAAAACACAAAACTCACATTAAGCAAAATAAAAATTATCTTTAACAATGTCTTATATTTGCTTTAGTACACTATAGGTGCATACTAGTTATTTCCATTTTCCGTTTCCTTCAATCCAAACACTATAAAAATATTGTTACATATTTTTTAAAAAGTCAAACTCTGACATATCCCTTCATCAATTTTATGATGAAAAGAGAGGTAACTAATTTTGGAACACTGGACATTAGGCTTGGAAAAATAGGTTTAGAATCAAAAGCTGGTGTGCTTGAGTATAAGAACACATACTGCACAAGTGATTTAAATTCTTTGAAAAACTTCACCATTCTCTCTCCACACATCTGGCAGAAGGATGAGCTGCCAGCTGCCCACATACACCAGTGGCTGGGTGCTTACATCTCAGAGATCAGAGTTCTTGCTGGATGACCTAGGAGGAAACACTTAGATAGACATAATTAAGATGAGCCTTACAACTTTTGTCCCTCAAAAGCAAGATCCTAATTTTGGTTACTGCTTGGTCCTGGTATAGGAAAGTAAGATCTATTCATGCAAAATAGACAAAATAGCTTTATAGTTTTCACAGAAAACCTGAACTGCTTGTGCAATACAGAATAACTTAGGCTTTCATCTTACATTTATATATTTTTTATTTTATTTTAATTTAATTTTTATTTTATTTTATTTTATTTTTTAGTTTTTTCGAGACAGGGTTTCTCTGTAGCTTTGGAGCCTGTCCTGGCACTAGCTCTTGTAGACCAGGCTGGTCTCAAACTCACAGAGATCCGCCTGCCTCTGCCTCCCGAGTGCTGGGATTAAAGGCGTGCGCCTTTAATCGTGTGCCACCACTGCCCGGCACATTTATATATTTTTAAATAATTTATTTCCAAATCATAGTTTAAATTCAAATAGTTCAATGCTTTAGGTCCAAGGTGGTCCCATCATTGACACAACCAAAACAAGGCATACAGCTCACATGTCCAGATGACCATTCTTCAGAACTGAAACTCTATTAGCTACTTGTGACTCATGTTCCATCACTGGTCCCTTTAAAAGGATACTGTATCAGTATTCTAGCATCTATATGGTCTTCAGGAGCAAGGCATGGTGGCACACATCTTTAGTCCCAGCTCTTCGGAGAAGCAGAGGGAGGCAAACCTCTTTTGAGTTTGAGACCAACCTGGCCTATTTAGCAAGCCCAAGGACAACCAGGACTACAAAGACACTGTCTCAAAAAAACTGAAAAGGGGGCTGGAGAGATGGCTCAGTGGTTAAGAGCATTGCCTGCTCTTCCAAAGGTCCTGAGTTCAAACCCCAGCAACCACATGGTGGCTCACAACCATCTGAAATGAGGACTGGTGCCCTCTTCTGGCCTGCAGGCATACACACAGACAGAACATTGTATACATAATAAATAAATAAATATTAAAAAAAAAACTGAAAAGGGTCTTTAGAATATATAGCACATTGATCTAACTTATAAGAGACCTTGGTCCTTCGGTGTCTAGAGTCTCCTGGATGGAAATTTAAGGTAATCTCGTGGAATAAACCCCACGTAAAAGACTGCTGCTGAAAAGGGCGCCTGTTGATTTTGGAAATGTAATAAGCTAAAAATCTTTGTGTTTACTTTATAAGAAATTATATGCAAAATCTCTCTACCTTGGGTCACTGTATTCAAATATATCTGTACACACTACTGATAACAGCTTTTCATTTTAAGCAGATATTTGGGGAGTATTTTGAGATTTGTGTGTACCATGTGTGTGACTGGTGCCTCCAGGTCAGAAGAGAACACTGGATCTCCTGAAATTGGAGTTACAGATGTTTGTGAGTCACCTTGTTGGTGCTGGAACCTGAACCTGGATCTTCTGCAAGAGCAGCAAATGCTCTTAGCCACTGAGCCATCTCTTTAGCCCCCAGAAGACTCACTTTTAAAGGTTATCCAATAACTTAAGGATTTGGAGTAAATGAATGTTGTGGAATATTTTAACTGGGCAAAGATGTGTTACATATGTTTATGCTGTGGAATATTACTTTAACTGCATAAAGGTGTGTTCCTTTGATTATGCTGCATTTGTTTAATTATTTAACGATGTATTGCTTTTGTTTCACCTTGCCTGCATAAGGCACCTGACTGGTTTAATAAAAAGGTGAACGACCAATAGCCAGGAAGGAGAAAGGACAGGTGGGGCTGGCAGGGAGACAGAATAAACAGGAGGAGAAATTGAGGCTCAAGAGGAAGAATGAAAAGAGGAGAGAACAAGAGAAGTCAGGCAGATGCCAGTCAGACATAAAGAAAATAAGATATACAGAAGCAAGGTAATAAGCCATGAGGCAAAAAGGTAGATAAAGAGAAACAGGTTAATTTAAGTTAAAATAGCTAGCCAAAATGTGCCTAAGCTAGGCTGAGCATTCAAAACTAATAGTAAGTCTCCAGGTCATGATTTGGGAGCTGGCTGGTGAACCAAAAGAAAAAGCCTGGTACAAAAGAACCACGGAATCATGTAACAATTTCATCCATAAATATTTTCTTCTGCACATGATCCCTTCACAAAGTGAACCCATAATTCATGTTTATTTCCTGTTGGGAGTAGAACAGAAGACCACAAACAAGCTCTGGCTAACATCTGGATACATCAGCAAAGAAAGGTTTCTCACATTGTCAAAGAAACTCTTCAAAAATCCAGGTTTTAAGAACAATAAAGGTGATACCAAGTTCCCCTCAAAGTAGTTCGGCCAACTCACTGCACAGACTTAAAATACAACATGTTGTGGGATGTCCTTCTGTATATATGTTGCTTTTATTGGTTGATGAATAAAGCTGTTTGGGCCAATGGCTTAGCAGAATAAAGCCAGGCAGGAAATATGAACAGAGATATAGAGAGAGTAGGCAGAATCAGGGAGTCGCCATGTAGCTGCCGAAGGAGACAGATGCCAGAACCTTAGTGATAGGCCACAGCCTTGTGATAATACACATATTAATAGAAATGGGTTAATTCCTAGATAGATAAGAGCTATCTAGGAATATGCCTAAGCTATTGACCAAACAGTGTTGTAGTTAATACAGTTCTGTGTGATTATTTGGGTCTGGACAGCCGGGAACAAAAGAGCATCCTCCGCTTACAACATACATTTCCAAATTTAAGTTACCTATATATTTAGTATTATGTACAATCAGTGTAATTATAGGCTTTTAGTTTGAATTCTATGTAAGTTTTAGCAGGCAACTCAGTTGGTTTCACATAATTCTAATTGAGAAAGTCATCCAGTTACCATAAAGACTTACTTAGGATAAAGGTCTACTGTGTTGACTTAACATAGACAATAGTTTTAAGTTGAAAATCTCTGAGCAAAATGTTTTACAAGGCCTATGTTTAAGAATACTGACATACAAGATCTCTTTTAAAGAAAAACCAAGACTGGGTAACAAGCACAGATTTGCTGCCTAAGACCCTTCGGTGTGCTACAGGTAAGCAGCATGTCTTCTTTGCAAACTTTCAGTTTTTACACTAGTATAAAATTAAACTGAATGACTGACTCCCCTCAGTCTTTGCTGGCTTTATTCTCTCCTCGTCAGTAATAGGTACCGACATCACGTTTTACTTAGCTGACTCTCATCGTCTCTCCAGGGCCACAGTGTCAAGTACAATGGAACTAGTGAACGTTCTTGAATGCACAGTGACACAGCAAGAATGCACTAAGAGCCCCAAAGAATCTGAAGATGACAGTGGTCCTTTTTCTAAACTCCCCAACAATAGTGCCAAAGCTTCAAGCCTCTTTCTCAGATTCACTTTGGCTTGCCTTTGTAAATAACAGGTGAAAAGAACATGACACAGAGCACATGGTCAAATCACAGTTAGTAAGAACACACAGATTAAGTTTCTATTCATGGATCAAAGAATGAATTTTATTTACATTACTAGTAGATCGCAGCTGCTGTAGTTACTCTGAGATAGATTATTTTGCCAATGACAGGAAAAAATATCTTCCAGTATCTAGTTTAAACAACTGTAATTTAATTGCTTAGTTATAGAGTATAGAGTAAGAAGCAATTAATGAATCTTGGAAATAAAAAATATGTATATATATCACCCTGATGCCCAAGCCAAAATATATCTAAAAACAAATTTTCTTGATTTCTATTACTCATAAAAATAAAGGAAATATATTGCAAGTACTTTTCTTTATAGACAATTTCAGTTAGAAAACAATAGTTTAATGAAAACAATACAGTGGTTCCCGTGAGTGCTGAGGCAAAGGCAGAAGTATTCAAACCTCGACAACACACTGCCAGACAACTGAAGATAATGCCTCAATGACACCTGTTATAGGCAAGAGCTAGATTTTTTTACACGTCTCAATTTTCTCTTACAAATTTTTTATCTTATGTCTGAGATAAATACAGGTCAGTAAGTTTTGAGCTTGAGTTGTAGTTAAGAACCCCTTCTTTTGGCTTGCAAAATGTAGCCTTTTGACTTGATAATTCCTCTGCTTTTCACAATGACGGAGTATCTCAGCAGCCACAATGGCACCCACTCCTGGGCTTCGATGTCGGGGATGCTTTCCTGAAGAGCTTCTTGGAAACTCGCCTCAGAAAGCAGTTCTAAAACAGCAATCCCAACAAGTCAGGTCCGAAAACAAAAGCTCTTGACTATGTAAGTAAGCATTTCAACAACAAAACTGAGTACAGGGTCAGAAAGTTAGCTGCCGGCAGCATGCTTGCCGAGAGTGCACCTGGTATTGTTTGCCCCACCCACATAAACCAGCTCTGATGGCACAGAGCTGAAACTAAGCACTTGAGGGTGGAGGCAGGAGGATCAGAAGTTCAGGCCATTCTTGGCTATATAGTGGCCTCCAGGCCAGCATGGCTGTAGGAGACCCTGTCTCAAAAGACGAACAACAACACTGAATATAAAATACATGTATCCTCTAAGCTGAGCTACAGTATTAAATGCCATCAGTTCTTTTAAAACGCATCCCTGCACCCCAGTCTCTTTAGTTCATAACTTTTGGTTAGGGAGTCTGGAGTTTGCAATTTTTGAAGATCTCCAGGAGATTCTAATGTACAACCAGGGAAAATACAAGAGAGTACAAAGGGGAAAAAAAATCATTCCTAACCCTATTAATAGCATTTCTATTACTGTATATTTCATCAGGATTTTTTTCTAGTATGTGTTCATCTACACACACGGGGGGGGGGGAGAGGATGATTCGCACAATATTATATTTAATTACATGGGAAAATAATAACACAAGCACAAAAAGGGGTAACTACAGAAGAATTTAACTCCCCATTAGTATACCTGGTATATATTATAACATAGTCTTCAGCACTGGCAAAAAGAAATCAGTTTTACTCTGAACTTTTGCTTTGGCCACAGCACAATATCTAAGTATATTCATCAGAGCATTACTCCCATTGCTTAGGAAAAAAAGAAAAAACAAGTGGTGTCTAGAGAAATGGTTTAGTTCATTCCCATGCTCTTGCATAGGATCCTGCCAATTGATTTACAACTCCACCACTGCAGAGACAAACTAACGCTGTATGTTTTAAATTAACAATAATATTTACATTTGACAACACTATATACTTATCATAGCACACACTTCAGATTTCAACATCTGTTTTCTTTTTGCGTTTCTAAAATTTGTGTGCACATGTTGGGATCAAACCCAGGCTGTGTGCATTCTAGGCAAGCATTCCATCATTGGCCTGAACCCCCCGCCCCCACACAAACAGCTTTTGTCCTCCATAGGAGAAAACATCAGGCTTACCTTTTGGGTCATTATGAGTCAGTAGCTGTATGTCAAACTGTTTAGCAAATGCCGTCAAATCTGGTGGCATCACACAGCAGGAGGCAAGATTAACTTGGTTACTATTTGGTTTTACCTAAAAGTGGAAATAAAATGAACTGTATTAAATTATGTCATATAGAACACAGAAAGCAGAAAACTAATACTCACAGTAGCTAAGAAACAGAACCAGTCTACATGTCCATCAACAGAATGCATACAGAAAACATGATCCACAAACACCATGAGTTCCAGTCACCAGAGAGGAAAGGAAACCGTGACACTGGCCGGGCAATAACCAGAAGCAATCACGTGACTGAAGTAGGCTGGGCGCAGAAGAGTCCTCTGCACGTTCCCTCATGTCAGGCTCTGTGGACACCTGTGTACGCATCTAGGGCATTACTTAGAAAGGGGAGGGAGAGCTCTTGACCGGGTGAAAGAGAAGAATGGACTTCAGGGAGGAGGAAAGGAAGGAGCCCCACGACGAAGCATGGTGAGAGGGGAATTAATTAGAACTTAGTATACTGACATATATATATGAAAATGCTATCATGCTAGCCTATTGCTTTGCATGCTTAGTTACACAATTTTGTGTCTTCGTCTGCACATGTGCGTAGAATGGTGCATGTGGAAGTCAGAGGTTAGTATCAGGCAATTTCCTCAGTCACTCTCCTCCATATTTTTGGAGACAGGGTTTCTCACTGAACCTGGAGCTCACTAGTTCAGCTAGACAGGCTAGCCATCCATCGATCTCCAGGGAATCTTCCTGTCTTGTCTTCTCCAGGAGCTGGTATCACAGGTAGATGTTAACCTCGATAGATATTTTTAATGTGTGCTTTTTTGGGGTGCTAGGAATTGAACTTAGATTCTCATGCTAATATAGCAAGTACCTAACTAAGTCACTGCCCTAGCCTCCACTTTTTAAAAAAGAAAGCAATAAATTTTAGAACATAAAACCATATTTGACAATTCTTCACTAAAGAATACTTTTGCATGACTATCTGTATTAATATATGCATTCCTAATCCATGTTAGTGATAATGAGGAAAACAGTTCCAGGTTGAGGGAAAAACCAATACATAATTATACTTACCAGTAAGATTCAAATTAAAGCCTGCTGGAATAATTAATAGTCCAGTACATCTGACTCTGAAGCAGTGATTCTAAGTGTAATGGTTTTAGCAACAGGGAATCTATCTTCAAGGTAGACACTGAATCTCAAGATATAAACTGTGGCTACTATGGCTACTACTCAGGTATTTAAGGAAACTCCTAACTTCCAGGAGCTGTACTGGCTAGCTGTTATATCCTTCCTAGATCACTAAGTCCCCAGCTGTATCTTGGCCACATACTGCTACCAAGTCAACAAGAGAAGGAACAATGCAATCATCCTGCTTGTCATCAACTCTGAGGAAGCAGCTGAGAATGAAATAAAAGAAATAGAGACAAGATAAAGGAAATAAACGTAGGGTGTGGGTAACCTCCCTCATAACTTCGTAGGTTCACAGAGTGGAGAGATGGCTTTATGATTCCTTCTCCACATCAGGTTCTATAGACTAAGTCTAATACCTCTTACTTAATAGGAAAATACTGTTACATTTATTTCCTTACTTAAGAAATCAGAGCCATAATGCCCACAGTGTAATATTTTCAGCACATGTAAAACTGACTGAATGGTTTTAATTCACTTGCTCTGAACACTTAGCATTTAGTGTTTCCTTCTTTCATTTTAAGCAGGATGAATACTCAGTTCAACTAGACATACCCAACTCCAAACCTAAGCTCCTACTGCCTGATAAAGCCTGTCTCCAAGCTCCCATGTGTAGAGTCAGCCACAGTGAACATGCACTAATGCACGCTGCTCCATAGCTGTAGCAGGTGTCGGCATGCAGACGCCCTCTACCTGTGCCCACTGGTACAGCTGCTCCAGCTGTGTTTTGTCGAGATCAGAGGTGCCGATAGCAACAATTTTCTTGCTCTGCACTAAGTTTTCTAGCTCCTCCCAGTAAGGCTGCAGATGCTCCAAGGAAAGGTTCACTCCATCTTCAATGGGAGGCGAAGCAATGATGACAGAGTCCAGCTGCGCAACTCCAAGGACTGAGCACGCTGACGGGAAGGAAGACATGGGAAGGACAACTGTGTGTTACAGGCTAGAAACAAGTATTACCGTCTTCAGCACAGTCCACTGAATTCCACGTCATGAACTAGTTTTCTGTACAGTAGATTATTGCATAATTTACCTGTCATTTACAACAGGTCTCTAAGTGCTCATTCACCTACTTCTCTGTGCAGCAGACAAGAAGTCTCTGACCTGCCCTCTTCCTTGTGGTTTTCCTTCTTTATTTTTATCTAACCAGGTGCTGGAAATGAATCCACAGTATTTGTACTCTGTTGTCTCTGATTTTAGTATTTTAACTATAGTATAATATTTAAAGGCCTAATAATGATTACAAAGAAACTTCATCCTCAAGCAGATAACATTAATACATCTTTTACACTTCTATCAAAATATCACTGTATGTAATTAAAAATTGGTTCTATGCAAGTCTTTAAAGTTTGGCTAGAAGTTTAAATGGTAAAATTGAAATCATCTTATCTTCTTTATCTAGATTAAAATAATTAAAGTCCATTTTTATGAGAGGGATAAATTTTTGCTTACCCATGTCAACAGCACTTCTAGTTGATGATGAAGAATTTGATCCTACAATGAACAGCTTTGCTGGGTAACAAAGAAAAAGTTGATTACCTCATGTATCCACACCTCATTATTACTTATGTGTCCACATCCTACTGTGCACTACCATGGCTTGAGCATGTCTGAGACCTCAAAGCCCACCTCCACAGTGCCACACTTGCTCTGACAAGGCCATACCTACTCCAACAAAGCCACACCTGTTAATAGTGCCACTCCCTATGAGCTTATGGGGCAAATTACATTCAAACTACTACAGCACTTATACAGTGACTAGCGTTCAACATATGCAACAAATGTCCTTGTGTACATGTTTATCTGTCCCCTCTTTTCTACTACCAGATCTTCCTAAAACATCTAGGTCCTGCTGCTACCCCTGACAAGCAGCCATTGGAGCTCCCTTAGCAGAGAAGTCCAGCGTTAGGAGTCCACGATACACGCTGAAAAACTTTCCCTGGTTGGGGTTCAGCTTGATGGTAACACATTTGTCTCACGTGTGTAAGGCCCTAGGTTTTATCCTCCTCCTCTTGCAACAAAGAAAATCCCCCCATTACTAATCCTTGGTCCCTATATTTCACCATCTGGAATGGCTTTCTCTCTCTCTGGAATGTAGGGTACACTGAGATAGAAAGAGGCAAGCTTCTCTTACGGTAAGATTTTGATCACCTATCAAGATTCTCAAACCCTACAGGAATGGAGGACAACCTGGAGAAGGCTCAAGACAGTAATGAGCTACATACAGTCAACCACACAGAAATGTTGGCTTTACTTCACTTCCTACACAAGCAGCGATGTGAAGGTAACAGAAGAGACAGGTTTCAGAGTCAGACACGCCTTCATAGCCTGTTGGTTCGTCAATGCACTGGCTGAAAGACAGCTTTCTTTTTCTTTCTTAACTGGTGGGGTCTCATTATGTTGCTAGGCTGGATAAAACTCCTAATCTCTGCTTCAGCCTCCTAAGTAACTGGAACTATTGTTATGTGCTAACTTTCATGCTAATTAATGTTACTGGTGTGATGGGGATAACAGTCCTGATAGGTTTGTTTCAATAAATATGAGGAAGTATAATCATAAAGGGAAGTTCAGTGCTTAGAATAAGCAAGACTCCACAGATGGTATTATGATTGGAACAAAAAGGCCATTCCTATTTTATAATCCCGTCATACGTGTCCCTGTCAATGTTAGTAATAACAGTTATTCTTTACTACTTTGTGGCAAGCACTGCCCTAGCTATGAGCCTCTTTTGTTCTTTCATCCATACTATAAAGAAGCCTGTAAAACAATTGAATCCCATTGTAGAGATAAACAAACTGAGGCTCGGAGAGGCTGAACACTTGCTAACCCTAGACTAGTCAGTAACCTACACATCCAGGAACTTGAATCTAGGCAAGCTCAGGAGTTACTGAGCTCTGCTACGCTGCCTGGAAGCTGAGAGCAGAAAGTGTTAGCTTCTCACTGCTGACACAGAGCAGGCACGGACACTGCTGGATGTATGCATACATCACTCTCCCCGCAGAGGTGGCTGCCCAGACTTCCTTCTGGACTCCAGGCAGCGTCTGCACTGCTCACCAGCACCCAGGAAGGGGAGATCTATTCACTCTGCAGACGCTGCTCCTAACCATCCCCTCTCCTTTCCGTTTTCTACCTGAACCTCTCCACCGCTGAGTACACATAAGTCACACAAGAAATAGAAACATCAGGACTCCATGGTGCTCAGCTCTGACTTCCTATGACCCACTCCTCAGACTGGCCTTCGTCTGGTTTCCTCACTAATGACCGACCCCTGGCTGTCAGGAGGAAGGATTCGCTCTCATGTCCCTCGGTCCACAGCATAGGAGAGTGACCGGTAAAGGGGGCACTTACCAGACACTTTCATTTCTTCTCTCTCATCAGGGTTTATCTTCTCAACTGCATGGGACACGGTGCATTCCAAGACATCTGGAAACTCCTGCAGGAAACACAAAGTTCAATGGACATAAAGTTAGCCCTACTGGTGGTAAAGTCTCTGATTGTCCTAAGCATTTCAGACGCAAAGATCTTTTTGAGGTCTAATGAACTTTCTAAGCATAAAGTGCAGATGTTGAGAGAGAGAGAGAATTTCTATTTTCTGGAGAAAAAGTCTCATTTTGACCAGGTATTACCAAAAATTAAAAAAGCAAACAAGCAGAAGAGTGTAGAGTTATGTGAGGTGTTAGAAGAGAATTTTACTTTAAAATCAATGAAAATTACCTATTTTGGATAATGGCATATTAAAATCTTTTAAAAATCTTTGATATACAAAGTGTCTTAGTTGCTATTCTATTGCTGTGAAGAGACACCATGACCAAGAGAAAGCATTTAATTGGGGACTGCTTACAGTTTTAGAGAGGTAATCCATGACTATCATGGCAGGAAGCTGGCAGGCATGGCACTGGAGCAGTAGCTGAGAGCTTTACAGTCTGATCCACAGGCAGCAGGCAGAGCAAGAGACTGTGCCTGGCATGGGCCTGTGAAACCTCCATGCCCACGCCCAGGGACACACCTCATCCAACAAGGCCACACCTCCTAATCCAAAGGTTCCGTAGCCTTACTTGAGCGGACTGACGGACTGACACATCTCTAGGGATGTGCAGCTATGGATCCAGCAAATGCCTTTTCTCAGTAACTGTCTGCAAGGACCACCAAGAGCAATGTGCTTTCGGTTGACAGTATACCTTTACAAATCCAACTCTCCAGTCCTCTGCATAACTTAGTTAGAAGGAATCCTGATTTCTCTCTCACACAAAACCTCAGACTGGTCTACGACATTGATGACATTATGCTGACTAGACCAGGTGAGCGGGAGGCAGCAAACACTTGGGACTTGGGGGCTGGAGAGATGGCTCAGTGGTTAAGAGCATTGCCTGCTCTTCCAAGGGTCCTGAGTTCAATTCCCAGCAACCACATGGTGGCTCACAACCATCTGTAAAGAGGTCTGGCGCCCTCTTCTGGCCTTTAGGCTTACACACAGACAGAATATTGTATACATAATAAATAAATTAAAAAAAAAAAACACTTGGGACTTGGAAGCACCAATGTATATCAGAAGATGGGAAATAAAACCAACCAAAATTCAAGGGTCTTCTACCTCAGTGAAATTCTTAGGAGTCCTGTGGTGCGGACCCTGCAGAGATGTCCCTTCTAAGGGGAAGGGGAAGTATTGCACTGGGCCTCTCCCACCACTAAGAAAGAAGCGCAGCAGTTGGTGGGCTTATCTGGATTCTAGAGACAGCAAATTCCTCACTTGGGTGTGTGACTTTGGCCCTTGTACCAAGTGACAAGGAAAGCTGCTGGCTTTGTGGGGGGGGGGGGGAACTGTAATAGGGGAAGGCTCACCAGAGGGTCCAGGCTGCTCTATCACTTGGACCACATGACCCAGCAGACCCTATGGCCTTTGTGTCAGTGGCAGATAGAGATGCTGTTTGGGCCCTTTGGCAGGCCCCTATAGGTGAATCAAAGGAGAGACCTTTGGAATTTTAGAGCGAGGCTCTGCCATCATCTTCAGACAACTGTTCTCCGTTTGAAAAGACAGCTCCTGAGCCTTGGTGGTAACAGACTGTTTTACAATGGGTAACCAAGTTACCATGAGATCTGAGTGCCCATCATGAGCTAAGTATTATCGGAACCACCAAGCTATAAAGTAGAAGTGCACAGCATCAATCTACTATCAAATGGAAGTGTGTAGATACATCATCAGGCTCGAGCAAGCCCTCATAGCACAAGCAAGTTACATGAAGACGTTTCCCAAATGTATTTGGTTTCTACTCTGGTTACAACGCCTTCTGCTCCCATGCAGGTACCTATAGGCTTCGGTGGTGAGCCCTATAATTAGAGAGACAGACAGACAGACAGACAGACTAGGCCTAGTATGGGCTTCTGAAGGTCAAAGCCCACTCCCCAGTGAACACACCTCATCCAACAAGGCCATACCTAATCCTTCCCAGCAAACAGAAGAGCCTATTGGGGGGGCATTCTCATTCAAATCACCACACCAATTTAAACAAATAACCATATTAACACTCTTTTGGACTTCAAAGTCATCAGCTTTAACCTGTTAAGGTAACTTAGCTGCTTTTCCTTCAATAGATTTTTTTTAAGAGCAACTGCAGGTTCATAGCAATACTGAACAGGAAGAACGGAGAGTTCTCATTCACCTCCTACTTCTAAAAGTATTCTGCCTCCCCCACTGTCAACAGTCCCATCCAAGTGCTTCACCTGCAATCACTTAGTATGCAGCCTTCCCAGAGTGACTGCATTTCAGGTTCCTTCACGTCTTTTCTGGCTTGAGAGCTCACTGCTTTTCAGGACTCAGTAATGTATCACTGCCTGGATGCACCACACTTTGTATCTCCATTTGTCTACTGAAGAACATCTAAGTTACTTCAAACTGTTATCAACTGCTAATAAAGCTGGCACAAATATCCATGTATAAGATTTTGTGAGCATAAATATTCAGGCCCTTTGGGCAGATACTTACCGGGACTGGTAACTTCTTTGGAAATGGCCAGGTACATTTAATGAAATATAGTTCCTTACTGTTTCACGAGAAACTGACATTTAAAAAGTTGTTCCTAGGGGCTGGAGAGATGGCTCAATGGTAAGAGCATTGCCTGCACTAAGGTCCTGAGTTTAATTCCCAGCAACCACATGGTGGATCACAACCATTTATAATGAGATCTGGTGCCCTCTTCTGGCCTACGTGCATACATGCAGGCAGAACACTGTACACATAGTAAGTAAATAAATCTTTAAAAAGAGTAGGTTCCAAGACAGCAAAGGCCACACAGTTGTTCCTAGCTATATTATTGGGGTGACATTGTACCAAAGCCAAGGTGGGCTGTCATTCTTATACTAGACCGAGACACTGGTGGGTGAGGAACTAAGCAGGGAAAACCAAATGGGGAAGCGACTGTAGACCAGACTTCTGCTGGATGCTCGGCCCCACGGCCGCTTCAGCAGAAGAGCACAAAGGGATGGCTTTATGGCGAACTGCCTACTGGACTTCACTCATCAAACTGAGAAAGTCAACTTCCTGCTTACACCACATCTGCTTAGGCCTGCAGATTTCTGCATTCACATTCCACTTACCCGGATCAAATCTGGGCTGATTTGGGAACTCCACTCATTCAAGGTCTTTTGGATACAGTCTCGAAGCTGCAAAAAGCATCGTTTTCAAAGTTAATCAACAGCTCTCCATACCCAGTACTCAGTAAAGATGCATTAGTAAGTGAAGGAGGTGTTAATAGAAAACGCTAAGCAACCCAGGCTTAATCCTGTAAGATTTTTGTCTCCTACACTATAAAGTCAAACCTTGCTCTCATTCATTCATTCATTCATTCATTCATTCATTTTTGAGGCAGAGTCCACATAGCCCTGGCTATCCTGGAACTCACTCTGTAGACCAGGCTGGCCTCAAACTCACAGAGATCTGCCTCTGCTCCCGAATACTGTATTAAAGCATGTGCCACCACACCTGGACCTTGAGTCGCTCCTGGCTGAAAATGGTAATCTCATTATTTTGATGGTGATTTTGTATCAGTGAAACTTTAAGACATTAAAGTATTTATAAGTAAACTACGACTTTATTTCAAGAATAAAATTATAAAAAGACTTGGGCCAGGCTGTAGAGCACAAAACTCTAATTCCAGCATGCAGGAGGTGGAAGCAGGACAAGCTCTGCACTAAATAACTGAGCCTTTGGATCTAAGTGTGGAGTGTGAACAGAAACCACGTAAGTCCCTGTCCCTACGCTACGCTCCCCAAAAACAAACACTGTGCTGCCCTGAAGGCTCAGCAGTTACAAGCAACCAGCAGTAACTCCAGTAGCAGGGAACTAATGCCTGCTTCTGGCCTGTGGGCAACTGCGTCCATGTGGTGCATACACAGATAAGCACACACACACACATACACATAAATAGAAATAAAAATTTAAAAAGTAACAAAGAGTAAGTATGGCCAGAGAAACTTCTAAATTAGATATACCTGAGTTAGATTATTAAAAATTCAAACCTAGGGCTGGAGAAAAGGCTCAGTGGCTAACAGCACTGGCTATTCTTCAGAGGATCCAGGCTCAATTCCCAGGACCCATTCTGCAGCTCTCAAGTGTCTGTTACCCCCAGTTTCAGATGAACCAACACCCTCTTCTGGCCTCCACGGTATCAGACACCAAAGTGGTGCACTGACATATATACAGGTGAAAACACACATATACTTTCTTTTTAAATCAATCTTGGTTCAGGGACACAGTGCAGTAACAGAGCAGCTGCCCAGCATCCCTGAGGCCAGCCTTTGATTCAGTCTCCAGCACCAAAACATGTAAACATTCAGACTCCGAGCTCAATCACGGATCTGCCAAAGACTCTTAGAACAACCAGAACTTTCATTTTAACATTCCAATCGCTACATAATTCTACAGCCTGAAAAGCTGTCAGCATGAATCACCTTGCATCATGACAATGTGTAAATCATCTCCTAACACACAGGGCACTTCTTACCTTATCTCCAGTGTTTTTATAATTTTTAAGCTAAATTAAAATATGCATTTGTATTTGTCTCAATGTCAGTGATAGTGGTCTCATATAAGATGTATATTTATTTAATGAGCAAAGACCTAGATATACATAACAGAAAAAAATTAGAAAATGCTATTTATTACTATATACTAAGCATGCTGGTGACATCTATTAGAAAAAATATGCCATTTCATTATTCACTAAACTTACTTTTAAGTTTTTATTAGATTTACTAATTTTATTTTGGTGTGTTTTGCCTGCATATATGTATGTATACCATGTATGTGCATGGTGCCCGTGGAGATCAGAAGGCATTGGGTCCCCTGGAACTGGAGTTACAATGGTTGTGAACCACCAAGTGGGTGCTGGAAATCAAGCCCCAGTCCTCTGCAAGAACAAGTGCTCTCAGCTGCCGAGCCATCTCTGCAACCCCTCACCTAACTCATTTTTAAAATGTATTATATTGTTTTATTGTGTATTGATGGGTAGTCAAAGGACAGTGTTTGAGAACCAGTTATCTCCTACAGATGTGTGTCAGGAGTCAGTCTCAGGCTGTCCTGCCTGGAGGCAAGCACAGCTGAGCCACTGTGTGGCCTGGCCCTGAACTTACTTCTGATCACTCATTAACCAACACTGCAGCTAAAAGTCACCACTTTAAAGCCAGCCGAGGGCACAGAGGTTCTGATGTCATGGCAATCAATGGAAAGGGAAATCAGTAACTAAAAGCCCGAGTTGCAAAAGCATTTTCTTAATGGCAATAGGGACCAAACTTTGGAACTCACTATTTCACCTATGACTGCTTATGATAAAGATTAATATGACATGGATTTTACCACTTAGTACAGATAATTACAAGAGACAAGAAGGTACCATTCAAGATAACAGAGCCACTTAGGCTAATATTTGTGCCACCCACAATAACTCATCTAGATTCAAGTTACAAGATCTGTATTGTTATGCAAAGCATAATTAAAGTCAGATGAAAACTATCTGATAATCTTTTCCACACAATTACTATATATATTTGTTTCCTTTTTTTAAGTTTTGGAGGCTTTTATTTTGTTTTTTAGCTTACAAAGAATTAAGTTTCATTTCTGTGTTTTTCAGAACAGAATCTGCTGTTCCTTTCCTCCTTATTCCCATTCCTCCCCTTCCCTCACACCCTCCTTCCTCAATTCCTCTCCACTTCTTGCTACACACGACCTCTGCCATCTTCAGCGCCTCCTGTCCTCCTCATGGCCGTCTCATTTTAGCCTATCTTCTCTCACAGCTCCTTATTTACACAGCGTATGTATGGAAGAAGTCAATGTCCTCTTACAAACCAGTGAGCGCCGACACAGCAGGACGGATTAGAGGCGAACAACCAATGAGCAGCGCTTTAGCTCCCATCTTGAAGTATTCTAAGGTCCTTCCCTCTGACTGGTTTATACAGTAAGGCCTTGCTGATGAATTCCCCCAACCCAAGGAGACAAACTCACCTTTAAAGAAGTGGCCTCTTTTCTGAAACCATATTTGCAACAAGTATTTAGTAAATGGACACCAGGCCCAGATACAATACTAAAACCTCCTGCGCTTTGAGCTGTCATTCTAGAAGTGACAACAGTTAAAAGAAATAAATTGTGGGCAGTGTGGGAAAATTCAGAAGAGCATAAGGAGTGTCCCGAGGGCAGGAACGACAACTTAAAAGAGAGTGCACAAAGACTTGACTATGAAGAAAGACGTCGGGGCGGAGTAAGTGAGCAGCGAAGTGATGTGGAAGAAACTCAGGTAGATGAGCAGTAAAACCGAGTATTTAAGTATAGTCTACGCAGGGAAGCAGTGTGGAGTGCACTTGACGGGCGGACAGTGGATACAGAAGGAGTGGGAGCAGGCAGACAGAGAAATCTCCCTGTGATTCCTAGTGGCTTCTGGAAGCTTGGTGTATTTTTAGGGGGAAAGTAGTGTCTCTCTGACTTAAGCTGAAAGAGATCTATCGGGCTGTTCTATTACAATCCACTGGAATTGTCCAAGAAAAGTAGGAATTCCCACCAGTAACAGCAATTCAAAAATAGTGATGGCTTCCCAAGAGCCATAGCAGTGGCGGGAAGCAGGAAGTCCCGGAAGTGCATTCATGGCACAGGATACAGGAAGTATCAGTAGGGAGCTGAAAAGTGACTCCAATTCCCTAGTCCAGGTGACGCAAGCCTGCAATCTTGGGGGGTCTGAGACAGGAATGTCATGATTTTGAGACCAGCCTGGGCAACATATTTGAAGACTCTGTTTCAAAGAATGAATGACGAAATGAGTAAGTAAACAAACAAAAGAGAAAGGAGGGTGTAGGAGAGGGAAGGAGAGATGGAAGAAAGCAAAGCAGAAAGAAAAGGAGGAAGGGAGGGGAGAGAAGAAAGGAAGGAGTAGAGACAGATTATATTGCTTTTAGCCACAGCTGCTAGGTGACATGTACCACTGAGATGGGAATAATGCATGAAAAAGAATTGTAGAAGTGAGTTTTGGATATATGAGGATGGTGGTACCTATGATTCAATCCTACTCAAAACTCAGACAGTTCAGGCAGGGCGTGCTGGCATGTAGGAGGTAGTGGCAGCAGATCTCTGAGAGTTTGAAGTCAGCAAGCTCTATATAGTTGAGTTTCAGGCCAGTCGAGTACACAGTGATTCCTTGTCTCAAAAACAAACAGAAAGTTACTGCTGATGCCCTGAGTAAAGAGTGGAAGGGTAATAAGGTATGATTAGTGGTGGGGATGGCAAATGAGGTCTCTTCATGAAGCAGGCTGTCTTGACCTTCATCAGTGTGGACATGATATTGAGCAAGGGGCGTTCTTACTATAGACCGAGGAGAACTGCAGCAAGAAAGCGCATGTCTATTTGGGGTGCATTCTGGATTCCAATTTGAGCGTTCTCAGCTTGGATATTGTAAAAGAGAGAGAGAGAGAGAGAGAGAGAGAGAGAGAGAGAGAGAGAGAGAGAGAGATTGATTGATTGATTCCCGGACTGCCAGATCCTACTGTGCTGCGGCAGTTGAGGCCCAAAGAGCTAGCAGAGCCCTCAGCCTTTTCAAGCCCTGTGAAGATGAGGTCCACTAACACTGTCATAAAGCCCTTAAACAAAGAAGGCGAGAAGCACCCACGGTTCGCCATCTTGTCATTCTACCTGGAACACAATCACCAACTGCTCTGAAGAAACAATAACTAGGAAAAATGAGGCTGCAGAATACACTAAGCTTTTGGACAAGGGAATGAAGAACGCCAAGGAATAACATCAGGGACAGACTGCCAAGACATGAGGGCTGTCCTCACTGAGAGCTTCTACTTCTGAGTCTGGACAAAATAAGAATCTCTGAGCCTTCCTTCCTAGCCCATCTCCTTTGTGCCCACCTCTCCTGCAAGAGGCCCTGAGAAAAGGAATTCAGTTGAAGCACAAGACAAAGACTTGAAAATAGCAACTGTTCAAGGACCTTAAAGAGGACGTGAGTAAATGTCTGAATGAAGAAGACTGTTACTACACAGCTGAATATGAAAACAGCACAGAATGTTAAAGTAGAACTGAACAAAGAAGTAGAATCACTAATGACAACCCAGACTAAAATAAAACTCAAAATGGAAAATGTAGGCTATCACACAAAGCTCTTGGCGATGAGTGCCTCGTTCAGCTTACCTCAGAGCAGCCACTTCTGAGAACAGATGGGAAGTAACAGACTAAACAGGACAATGTTTACAGAGTACAGACTTGGAGCCAGAGCCCTAAGTGATGACTTCACCTCCTCAAAGCTCAGGGATCTGTGCAGAGGTGGAGAGACTGGAGGAGCCAGCAGGATGGGCGACTCCAAGCACACAGTGTCTTCCAGGCACAGCAGGACTGAGGCACACACATAAACTCACAGACTGTGGCAGCACACAAGACCTGCACAGGTTCAAGCCAGACAGGTTCCCAGCACTAAGAGAGGGAGTAGACCTTGAAGCTATGTGCAATTGATACCAACTGGCAAAGAGGAAAAAAATCCGTTTTCTCTGACTCCAGGGCAGGCCCCACAACTCCTCGGCTTTTTTTTGTGGACTGTTTTGCTTTGTCTTGTTATGTTTTGTCTTACTGGTCTTTTGTTTGTTCATTTTGAGGTTTGGTGGGCTTTTCTGTTTTTTGAAGAGAAAACAAAGTTGGATGGGTAGGGTGATGGGGAGGATCTAGGGGCAATCACAGAGGGGAAATATGATCAAAATACTTTGTTTGAAAAAATAAATAAAAAATAAATCTTAAAAAATTCAAAAAAATTAAGAATCTTTAAAAGTTAAAAAAATGATCAGGCCTTGAAAACAATAGTGGTTCTTTATTGTTTTCCAATTTCCTTAGTCTCATCAGTGAAGCAGAACTGTTTCAAACAGCACACTCTTTATGTTGAGCCCGAGGAGACGGCTTTGGAGGTAAATACCTGCTGCACAAGCGTGAGGACCTGAACTCACATCCCAGCACCTAGGTGAAAGCCAGGTGTGGTGGTGGGGGCCAGAACCTGTGGGGGGGGGCATGATGGAGTGAGACAGGCTAGTCTAACCAATCTGTGAGCTCTGGGCTCAGTGTGACACCCTGTCTAAAAAATCAAGATTGAAAGTAATAGAGGAAATTATCAGCCACCAGCCTCTGAGCTCACACACAGGAGAGAATTCTATGTAGAAACAGAACACACCCACTGCATTCTAACAAATCTGCTATGGCTTCCTCACAACATACTGACCTTCTAGGGGCTTCTCCTCAACATGTTCAAGTTTTAGCTTCTGTCCGACTCTTCTGAAACATCTTGAGTAAAACACTACAGACCATGACAAGTCCCTCTGAATAGTGCGTTTCACACTGCACATGACTGCACTTAAGGCTCCATCTTTAAAGAGCTGGAGGGATGGCTTGGTGGTTATGAGCGCCTACCGCTCTTGCAGATGGCTCAGATTTGATTCTCAACACCCATAAGTCGGCTCCCAATCACCTGTGATTCCACGGGGATCTGACACACCCACATGCACAGACACAAAACATAATTTAAAAGTCAATAATATTTTTATAAATGGCAAATAATGTTGAGGAATAAGAGTCACTGAACTATTTATTTATTTGCTTGTTTTTGTTTCTTTGAGACAGTGTTTCTCTGTGTAGCCCTGGCTGTTCTGGAACTCAATCTATAGATCAGGATGGCCTCAAACTCAGAGATCCCTGCCTCCAAGTTCTGGAATTAAAGGCATGTGCCACCATGCCCGGCTTAAAAAAAAAAAAAAAATCAAGTTTTACAAAGTTCAACAGGATTGAAAAAACGTCTACTACACAGTATGCAGGGATTAATAATCTTTTGTGCAACCTGTTCCTAATGCGGGGATAAACACACATGTTGTATAATGTTTTATTCTTTTGTCTTTTTGAGGGGCCCACCGCCCAGCTCCCAAATAAATCACACACAGAGGCTTATTCGTAGTTATGAAAGCTGACCTTAGCTTCTTTCTTGCCAGCTTTTCTTAACTTATGTTATCCTGACTACCTTTTGCCTCTGGGTTTTTATCTTTCTATAGTTCTGTATACCTTTCTTCTTTCTCCGTGGCTGGCTGTGTAGCTGGGTGACTGGCCCCTGATGTCCTCCCCTTCTTGTTCTCTTAGGCCTTCTCTTCCTCAGTTCTCCTATTTATATTCTCTGCCTGGCCGCCCCACCTTTTCTTACTCCTGCCTGGCTATTGGCTGTTCGGCTCTTTATTAGGACCATCAGATGTTTTAGACAGGCAAAGAATCACAAACAAATGCAGCATAAACAAAAGTCACAAACCTTAAAATAGTCCCCAACGCACATAGAAACAGAAACCTATGAACTAAATGGATAAAATTACTTATTATTCTCAGTCAAAAATTTTTTGAAAGCCTTTCTGATGATGATTGAGGGAGGTACTGAAATTCTCGCAGAATAAAACATTAAAAAAACTGAAAGTCACTAGTGTGTTATGGTCAGATAAGGTAAGAGAATGTTTTACCCAGTACATTGGCACTCAAGGCAAAATGCCCTACTGAACTCTGGGCAGGGAGAAATGAGGGCGCTCTATACCAAAGTGCAGTAATACCTTCCGGAGAAATAGGCAAAGTGGGCAGCTTAAACAAAACATACAAACTTAGCTGGAACCTGAACACACACGGCCTAGGCTAGGGTCTCAGGTTCCTAAATCTGACTGCGCAGGCTCTCAGCTTACAACGAGAAGGATGCCAGGTGCCGCTGTATAGTCTGTCTCATTAGAGGATCCGGGGCTTGTCTCCCATCACAGACACTAAGGTTACAGTATGACATCACTTCGGAAATGTATTCTTTCCTCAGGATGTGTTTGTCTTTCTGATGGTATGGTTGATTAACTGCCTGAGGATTTGCATATACCATCTTTCACTTCCCACAACTCGATGACTGGATGTTACTCAGGGTTAAAGTTACAGACAGGAAGACGCTCTCAAAATCTACAGCTCCTAAATGTCAATGTTTTGTTTTTAAAGCGTTTCTATTTATCTTATTTAATTTTTGAGACAGGGTCTCACATCGTAGCGCAGGCTGGCCTCTTGCCTCAGCCCATTAGTCTGGGTATCGGAGGAGCGCACCACCATTCCCAGCTTACTACTTCCAACACATAACTGCACATCGGTTTTGTTTTAAGCGCAGACGTGTTTCATATGCAATATGCCTCTGCAATTAGTTGCATGGTCCATGGAGAACTACTGGCCCAGGAACGGGCCATTAACACAAATGCCACACGTTTTAAATTCTACATTAAACTGTCACTTTCAGTAATTAGGGTTTATTGGGGGAGGGGGTTAAGACAGGATTAGCCCTGAAACTCGCTTATGACCAGGTTGGCCTCGAACTAAGAAATCCTCCTGCCTCCGCCTCCCCAGGGCTGGGATTCAAGGCGTGTGTCACCGTGCTGTTAGTTCTGAAGCAAATAAAATGTTAACTTCCAGTAAGTACCCCAATTCCGAACTCAGCACAATAGATAAAGAAACTAATGTCAATGATGTCAAAGTCCAGAGTACTTGTTGGTTCATCTATCAGCTAACTACTATTCCTTTAGCTGGCTAGGGGAGAGGGAAGGACGATGAGGATGCGGGGCTGCAGTGGCTCTGTCCAACTTCCCCAGCCAGGCAAGGGACCCGGTGAGCTGGCGAGTTGGGAGAGGAACCAAGAGACTGGCGAAGGTGTCCCTCGCCTCTCGCCAAAGTGCAGCGGCACCTGCTACCGCGGGTTAGCACCCAGGTCACCGTGATCACCCCCTCCCCCCGGGGGACAGGCTCCGAGGCGGGCCGAGCCCGTCCCCACCTGCCCGAGGCCCGTGGGACGTCCCGCAGCCCCCGCAGCCCCCACTCCCCGGGGCCCGACCCCACCGCGCTCACCTCCTCGCTGTGCGTGGACGGGCACTTTTTCCGCAGGCGGCCCCAGTTGAGCAGGTTCCCCGTCTGCAGGTGCAGAGTGCTGGCCCGCGCCAGGAGCGCCCCGGCCGCGCGGCTGTCGGTGCCCATGGCAGCTGCCGCCTTGAAGGGAGTTGTGGGGGGGAGACCGGAGAGCGACGGGGCCGCGGAGGGGGCGGGCTGGGAAGACGGCGGCCACGCAGGGCGCGGTGTCCCAGGCCCGAGAGGCGAGCGCGAGGCTGCCGACTCCGCGCGGCCACAGCCCGGTGTGTGCGCTCGGGCCCGAGGAGGCCGGGCGGCGACCGAGAGGCGGTCCCGGAGGGAGGTGCTGGCGCGGACGGCCGCTGCGGCTTCGGCGGCCACCGCCGCCAGGAGGGAGCTGTTTCCTGGAAGACAATGACTAAGCAGAAACCGAAGCCGAGAAAGTGCTTCGTAACCGTTACTCGTCCCGCGGCGGCCCAGGGGCGGGGCGCGGAGGGCCGGCGGGGCGCAGGCCCGCGGGTGACTGGCCCTCGGCCTGCGGCGGGCGTGGCGCCGGGCGAGCGGGGCGCGGGCCGGGCGGGAGGCGCCGCGGGGAGCGCAGCGCGCGGAAGGGCGCCCCCTGCCGGCCAGAGCGCGGCGCGCGGCCTACGGCGCCGGCGCCTCCGGAGAGTTCACGGCCCCCGGGAAGCGCTCCCCAGCCAATGGCTGCCGCGCTGCGGCTCTCGGCGCGGCCTCTTGATTAGACAGCCCGAGATCCATCTTAGAGAGCCCGCCTGGTTTTATGTCTCCTAGGCGGGTGTGCACGTGCCGGCGTCCCTTTCCCCGCACCCTGCTATGCTTTTGTTTTGCTTTGCTCAAGGATCTTTCTCCCGAACTGGTGACTCTATTTGCTGGTACTGTATGAAGTCAGAGAATACACTTTATCTTTCCCTTTCAGAAGCCTATAGGCCTAAGCCCACAAAACATTAAATAATAAGACTACCAAAGGGCGGTTAGTTTCCAGATAAACGAAAAGAGCAGATGATGACAGAGAAAGCTTTATCACCCACACTCTTACAGGCTGTGATTCTTCTCCATCCCCTTGGGGTAGACTGGGTAGACCGTTTATTGAGCTTTATTCAAGAAACGTTCACTTCTGTTGACACGGGTCAGGTATGTGAGAGCCCCTTGAGGTTTTCATTGTAAGGGGGCAACATCTTCTAAAGGGAAAAACGAATTGGAGTTGGTAAACTTGTAAGAAATAGGGAAGGCAAGATAAGACGATCCAGAGAAGGTGAGGCTGAAGTGGATTAAATATTTGTGGGCCCAATGAACAAGAGTCCGGGGATGAAAACAGGGTTATGCCAGAAGCCAGGCCTCACATGACCTACTTCATACATAGAATCACCTGCCTCTTCTGCTGAATTTGCTGAGATATCATATTTCACTTTTTATGTAGTCTCTTAAATCTGTGTAAAAATATTTGGTTAAAACTTAGTGGTCATATTCCCTAAACTGTTAGTTCTCTCTCTTTCCTAGGATCTTTTTTAAAAAAATCTGATTAACCTATGTCTTTGAGGCCAGTACTTTGGAGCCAGAGGCAGATAGATCTCTGTGAATTTAAGGCCAGCCTAGTCTACACATATAAGTTCCAGGAAAGAAGAGAAAAAGGCCCAAATAAAAAATGTTTCCTTATGCTTGTATGTGTTTGCCTCCATGAGTTTTTGCGTACCATATGTGTTCAGGGCCTCTGGGGGCCAGAGGAGAGCTCCTCCATGTGGGTGGTGGGAACTGAATCCCGGTCCTCTGTGAGAGTAGTGAGCTCTCTTAACCACAGAGCCATCTCTGCAGCCACTCTTCTCTACCGGTTTATATTAATACAGCATGCTGTTCAGAAATATCAGCTTCTAAATCTCGCATCAACACGTACCATCTGTGTTATTTTACCTGAATTTCAGTTTCACTTTCTCCAAAGTAGGGAGACAGTAACTTAAGCTATAACAGGACTGTCGATAGCTGTAATAGATCTATGCTTCTGTATAGATCTATGCTTCTCCCATTTTCCCAAATAATATTTCCTGCATTGGGTAGGTGTGATGAGTTAATAAGGGAAGGTCTGGGGAATTCTTAGTTCAGCACTTGTCTTACCGTAAATTCTCAGGAAGTGAGAATTATTCTTTGTGGCGCTGGGACGCAAACCAGGACTTTACCCTCATGTGCTACACCTCTAGCCCGAGAGTGGTGTGGCATATTTATTGAATCAGGCAATTATTCTTTGTGGCGCTGGGACGCAAACCAGGACTTTACCCTCATGTGCTACACCTCTAGCCCGAGAGTGGTGTGGCATATTTATTGAATCAGGCAAAGATGTGTTACATTTGTTTCCACTGCGGACTCTTACTTTAACTGTGCAAAGGTGTGTCCCATTTGTGCCTGCCGCATTTGTTAACTGTGTAAAGACAGGTTGCATCTATTTTGCCTTGCCTGCCTAAGGCACCTGGTCGGTCTAATGAAGAGCAGGAAGACCAATAGCTAGGCAGAGAAAGGCTAGGCAGGGGTTGGTGGGCAGAGAAAAAGAGAAGAGAGAACGGGGAGGAGAAGGGCATGCCCAGGGTCAGCCAGGCAGCTGCCAGCCAGACACAAGAAGCAGCAAAATATATGGTATGCAGAAGGAAGAAAAGTAAAAAGCCCCGAGGCAGAAGACAGATAAAGAAACAGGTTAATAAGTTAAAAGAGCAAGCTAGAAAGGATCCTAAGCTGGGCCAAGCATTCATAACTATTAATAAGCCTCTGTGTCATGGTTTGGGTACTGGTTGGTGGCCCAAGAGAAAACGCCCGGTAGACACACACACAAAGTCCGTTCTCCTGTTCTACTCTCTCCTGCCACAGCCTGGCTATCACAGGTTGGCAGGTTCAGAACATGAGCACACAGCAGCCATCACACTGTTGTAACAAGACTTCCTTTGGACCACCAGTCCCCAAGTGATGACACGGAGGCTTATTATTAATTGTGAAAGCTTGGCCTTTCGCTTAGGCTTGTTCCCAGCTAGCTCTTATAACTTAAATTAACCTGCCTCTATTAATCTACCTTCTGCCATGTGGCTTTTTAACCTGCCCTCCATTCTGGATGGGTGTCTCGCTGGCTTCTCTTGCTGAACCAGATACTAACAGTCAGTCTCTCTCTCTCCCTCCTCCCAAGCCCAGCCTCTTCTCTCCTGCCTAGATATTGATCATTTAGCTCTTTAGTAAATCAACCACGATATACATCTTCACACAGTGTACAAATATCCCATAACACATTGTGTTCCTGAGAGGTACGTGTTTAAACTCATAGCAACTCTTAGCAACTCAGTTAAGTGACTTGTTGAAAATTCCCAGTGAGCCCTGATCAGAAACCTAGACCCTTTGACCAGGTACAGCAGCACACACCTACAATCCCGCCACCCAGCAGGCGGAAGCAAGGAGGAATTCAGTGGTAGCCTGAGCTACATAATGAGAAACCTATTTCAAAACAAACAACGACGAGGTTGAGGGGAGAACCAGGATGCTGCCTTTTAAATTCTTTACTCTTCCATATTACAGGTAATTTAAATTCTTTTATGTGTTTGTGCATGATTTATATGCTTTAAATGCCTTACATATTTTACTTAATGATACTGTTGCTGTAACACCACAGCTTTGGGGTGGAATGGGGGAAAGAGAAATGTAATCTTCTAAATTTATTCTGCGTGCAAAGGAAGGAATACAAACCGGAAGAACTTGGTTGCTTGGTCATTGTGAATCTTTTCTTTTGTCTGGGGGGGGGGGGGGAGCCGAGCTCGCCATACTTCCTCCTGCAGGTGCACCACAAGCTTTGTTTTCAGGTTAACACAGGCTGCTCCGCCAGCAGAGCTGAATGAACAGGAGTCACTAACACCCAGGGCTGTTCAGCGCTTACTTTTTATTTTCCTTGACATTGGTAGAACCTGGTAGCATTGTTTGCGGTTTCCTTTCAAACCCCTTCCTTTTGCTGGGTCTGTAACAGTCTCTACCACATCCCCAATGCGTGGAAGATGGAGCTCTTTGGGAAGTCTAACAAACTCCCAAGTTCTAGGTATTTAGATCAAAGGAGACAAGAAGAGAAGTTCATGGTGAATGCTTTGCAGGAGAAAGAGATAACGTTTTCATCTCTAGTTTTTTGTTTGCTGTTTTTGTTTTGTTTTGTTTTGCTATATAAGAGAATAAACAACATCTGAAAATTAAATTTCTTTTGTCCAATTGGTGTAAGAAATATCAAGTGAGAATCTTTTCTAACTTGCAAACGTGGAATGGTGGTCACTTTTTTGTGACCCTCCAACTTACTTCTTGCATTAGATAGCTACCTGATGTATTTACTCTTTTTTTTTTTTTAAGATTTAATGTTATGTATATAGTATGTCTGCCCACCAGAAGAGGGCATCAGATCTCATTATAGATGGTTGTGGGCCACCCTGTGGGTGCTGGGAATTGAACTCAAGACCTCTGGAAGAGCAGTCAGTGCTTTTAACTGCTGAGCCATCTCTCCAACCTGCTGTATTTATTCTTATAAAGTAAAGTAGATTTAAATTCTCAATTTTTATTTTAACTCCCTCAGTGACCTTGTGTTTATTTCCGTGCTCAGGAGTCACTGAGTGACACCACCTTCAGGATGTGGTCTGTGACAGAGCTAGGCGAGTGCCAAGGAGTCGGTCTGGACTGAAGATGGGAGAGGTTGCCATTCCCTTCATCAATGTGAACTAGAGTATGGCTAACAGGGGAGCTTACGAAAAGGAGGCTTTGGGTTTGGTGTCTGAAGCACTGGGGAGCCTGTTGCACTTGAGGAAAGCAGAGCTGACAGAAATTAATCAGCAGACAAAGCATCTCTATTTAAAAACACTACTCAGTAGCTGTGTCTCAAGTGTCCAGAACTGGTCAGTATGAGGCTAGTAGGCAAAGGCTGTGTGAGCGTGCACTGGTCCCTCTTCTTTTGTAATGTGCAACCCCTTTAGAGGAGCCTGGTGCTAGTAACAGACTAGAAGCAAGGCAAAATTACACAGCGGTTGCTGCTACAGAGAAAGGCGCAAACATATTAAACCCACAAGTGACTTGTAAAATTATAAGAGGGAATGCTGATCTGGAGCCCCGCAAGAAGACTTTGGCCATTATCTAACGTGGCTTAACCAGAACCATGGTGATACAAAAGCTAAGACGATGAACCAAAACAATGTGTGTGTCTTCACTTTGCCCCAGTTAGAAAGGAGAAAGTAACGTTGCCATGACGGGGCTGAAAAGCACTAAGCCTTAGACCAAGCAAGAGAGAA